TCCCCCCTGTCTCCCCGTGTCTCTCTCCCCTCTCTCCCATGTCTCTTTGTCTCTCTGTGTCTCCCCGGTCTCTCTCCCCGTGTCTTCTCCTCTGTCTCCCCCTGTCTCTCCCCTGTCTCTCCGTGTCTCTCTCTTCTTGTCTCCCCGTGTCTCTCTCCCCGTGTCTCCCCCCTGTCTCCCCGTGTCTCCCCTGTCTCCCCGTGTCCCCCTGTCTCCCCGTGTCTCCCCCCTGTCTCCCCTGTCCCCCCTGTCTCCCCGTGTCCCCCTGTCTCCCCGTGTCTCCCGTGTCTCCCCCTGTCTCCCCGTGTCTCCCCCTGTCTCCCCGTGTCTCCCCCTGTCTCCCCGTGTCTCCCCCCTGTCTCCCCGTGTCTCCCCCTGTCTCCCCGTGTTCCCCCCTGTTCCGTGTCTCTCCGTGTCTCCCGTGTCTCCCCTGTCTCCCCGTGTCTCCCCTGTCTCCCCGTGTCTCTCCGTGTCTCCCCCTGTCTCCCGTGTCTCCCCTGCTTCTCCCGAGACCCTGAGTCTCCCCGCTCTCTTGACTAACGTGTGCCGTGCAGAAGGCCCATTGACCGAAACGTCGCCTATTAGATATTATTCAATGCCGTTTTAAAGCCGCGGTTTTATTCTGTTAAATCAGCTTAATAACGCGTCGGCTTTCGAGACCAATATTATACAAAATAAAAGCGGGAGGGGATTTTGGTGTTAGATCGCTAATAAAATGCGTTCTTGATTTAAAGCTTCCGTGACTGCAGCGATTCATATTCTTGGTTCTTTCGGTAAAGTCACGTACAAGGGAAATAATAAAATAATAAAAATATAAAACAATAAAATTATCACGACGTTTCGACTGCAACACAAGCAATCATCATCAGATGATTGATTGTGTTACAACTCTGATAATGATAATGTATGCACTGTCCTTGAAGTTGATTGGTCCACACCCGAGACAGCTTTTCTTAGAGCCTAGTCTCCATTGGTGTTGGACCAGATGACGCCAAAAGGCGTATCATTTTCAGAGTTGTTTCTTTTTGTTTGCATTTTGACTGCTTGTGTTGTGGTTATTGCAAACATGATCCCTTGTATAAAGGTGTCAGTTTTTGTACCAGTTGAAAGGGTAAAAACCTATTACTATATTTTGCCACTGGTAAAGGAGATGTCTCATAGTGTAAATGCTTACTTACCCCGAGCTCTCAATACTCTGATAGTGCGTTGTTTTTGAGTTGTACGCCTTTTGGCGTCATCTGGTCCAACACCAATGGAGACTAGGCTCTAAGAAAAGCTGTCTCGGGTGTGGACCAATCAACTTCAAGGACAGTGCATATCATCATTATCATCATCAGAGTTGTTTATTTTTGTTTGCATTTTGACTGCTTGTGTTGTGGTTATTGCAAACATGATGCCTTGTATAAAGGTGTCAGATTTTGTACCAGTTGATAGGGTAAAAACCTAACCTATTACTATATTTTGCAACTGGTAAAGGAGATGTCTCATAGTGTAAAATCATTGTCGTTAAGCCCCTCCACCATCCGACCAGATTGTCACCGATGTATTGTTCAGATTGTGACCGTTAAAGTTCAAGCCCCTTCCTTGCCAGTACAATTCGAGGTAATCAAACCCTCTATAAATGTATGTTACCCTGTGGGAATCCGTGTACCCCATGTCACCCTATGAAAATGAGTTTTCACCATGGGTTGACTGAGTCCATCATCATCATTCATCCCTCCATGCGGGGCGGATAAAGCAATCACCACTTTGTGTGGAAGTCACCAGCAGTTGTCATCTAGAGAGACTTCCCTACCCCCGTCATAGCAACGTGGAGTTTCCCACTAACTGGCTCTAGAGGGGCTGTAAACATTTCCAGTGTTGGATGATTTGGGCAGGAACTCGCACTTAGGCCTTTTAATCTGACGTCCCTCGCCACCGATCTGGCCGTGGCCAGGAATCAAACTCGGACAGTCGGGTTCAGAGTGTTGCATGCTGCTAACCGCTGCGCCACCGTTCCCCCCCCCCCCCCCCAACACCGTCTTGTGTGATGCTCGACAAGTCGTGTAGCGAGAGACGTGGAGCGAGAGTCGGGGACCTCGCTACCACCAGCCGCGACTCGGCTGCCAAGGAGGAAGTGCGGCCAACGTGTGGTGAGATCGCACACGCGGAACACACGCACGTGGTACACACACACACGCGGTACACACACACACGTGGTACACACGCAGTACACACACACACGGTACACACACACACGGGACACACACACACGGGACACACACGCACGGTACACACACACGCGGTACACACACACACGGTACACACACACACGGGACACACACGCACGGTACACACACACGCGGAACACACACATGCGGTACACACATGCGTGGTACACACACACACGGGACACACACGCGGAACACACACATGCGGAACACACACATGCGGTACACACATGCGTGGTACACACACACGCGGTACACACACACACGCGGAACACACACGCGGTACACACACACCGGAACACACACATGCGGTACACACATGCGTGGTACACACACACACGGGACACACCACGGTACACACACATGCGGAACACACACATGCGGTCACACATGCGTGGTACACACACACCGGTACACACACACACGCGGAACACACACGCGGAACACACACATGCGGTACACACACATGCGGTACACACATGCGTGGTACACACACACGCGGTACACACCACACGTACACACACACACGCGGTCCACACACACGCGGGTACACACACACACGGTACACACACGCGGTACGCACACACACGGTACACACACACACGGTACACACACACACGTACGCACACACGGGACACACTCGCAAGCGGAACACACTGACGTGCTGACACGCGGAACGCACTGTCACGTGGAACGCACACACAAGGAACACGCTGACACGCTGTACACACACACAAGGACCACGCGGTACGCACACATGCGCAATACACTGGCACACAGAACACCGCATTACACCGATGCATGGAACACACTGACGCGCTGATACACGGTACGCACACACAGGACACACTCGCACACACAGAACACCGCAGTATAAACGCGAAACACTAATGCGCACAACACACTGATGCAATGACACGTGGTACGCACACACGCGGCAAATACTAACACACTAACACCACTGACACACAGCACACACACACACAGAGCACACTGACACGCGGTACACACACGGGTACACACACACGCGGAACACACTGACATGCAAAACACTGCAGTACACACACACGTGTGGAGCACACTGACACGTGGAATGCACTGACACACTGACAAGTACACACACACACCCATGAAACGCACTGAAACGTACACACGGAATAAAACACCGTTACACGTGGACCGCACTGACACGCAGTACACGCATACATGAGGAACACACTCTGAGGCGCTGACGCACACTGACACGCTGACACACGCTGACACGCTGACACACGCAGACAATCTTCCCATTCTCACTGCATGTCACATGACCGGGACGCAGTGAGATTCGCAGTGAAGCAGCTGCTGCTGTATGTGTGCCGTTTCGTTTAGTTTTTAGTTTAGTTTAATGGTGTGGGTGCCGCTGCACGGGCATTCCACTCTGTATGTGTGCCGTTTGGTTTAGTTTTTAGTTTAGTTAATGGTATGGGTGCCGCTGCACGGGCATTCCACTCTATCGACTTCCTACAGATGCTGCAGCCGTGCCAGTGATGATGACACTCATCTTAGCGCTGTCGCAGTGTTTCCTCGTGCTGCTGTGACGGTGGGAGTCGGGCAGCGCTGAGTACACGGTGCTGTGAGTACACGGTGCGTTATCGCAGTGTCTACTAGTGGTGAGTGATAGTGGGAGTCTAGGGCGGTGCTGTTAGTGCACGGTGCTGTGAGTGCACAGTGCTGTGAGTACACGGTGCTGTGAGTACACGGTGCGTTATCGCAGTGTCTACTAGTGGTGAGTGACAGTGGGAGTCTGGGGCGGTGCTGTGAGTACATGGTGCGTTATCGCAGTGTCTCTGAGTGGTGAGTGACAGTGGGAGTCTAGGGCGGTGTTGTCAGTGTGCGGTGCTGTGAGTACACGGTGCGTAATCGCAGTGTCTACTAGTGGTGAGTGACAGTGGGAGTCTGGGGCAGTGCTGTGAGTACACGGTGCTGTGAGTGTGTGGTGCGTTATTGCAGTGTCTCTGAGTGGTGAGTGACAGTGGGAGTCTGGGGCGGTGCTGTGAGTACACGGTGCTGTGAGTACACGGTGCGTTATCGCAGTGTCTACTAGTGGTGAGTGACAGTGGGAGTCTAGGGCGGTGCTGTGAGTACACGGTGCTGTGAGTACACGGTGCGCTATCGCAGTGTCTCTGAGTGGTGAGTGACAGTGGGAGTCTGGGGCGGTGCTGTGAGTGTGCGGTGCTGTGAGTACATGGTGCGTTATCGCAGTGTCTACTAGTGGTGAGTGACAGTGGGAGTCGGGGCGGTGCTGTGAGTACGCGGTGCGTTATTGCAGTGTCTCTGAGTGGTGAGTGACAGTGGGAGTCTGGGGCGGTGCTGTGAGTGTGCGGTGCTGTGAGTACACGGTGCGTAATCGCAGTGTCTACTAGTGGTGAGTGACAGTGGGGAGTCTAGGGCGGTGCTGTGAGTACACGGTGCGTTATCGCAGTATCTACTAGTAGTGAGTGACAGTGAGAGTCTGGGGCGGTGCTGTGAGTGTGCAGTGCTTTGAGTACATGGTGCTGTGAGTACACGGTGCTGTGAGTACACGGTGCGTTATCGCAGTGTCTACTAGTGGTGAGTGACAGTGGGAGACTGGGGCGGTGCTGTGAGTACACGGTGCGTTGTCGCAGTGTCTACTAGTGGTGAGTGACAGTGGGAGTCTAGGGCGGTGCTAGTGAGTACATGGTGCGCTGTCGCAGTGTCTACTAGTGGTGAGTGACAGTGGGAGTCTAGGGCGGTGCTGTGAGTGCACGGTGCGTTATCGCAGTGTCTACTAGTGGTGAGTGACAGTGGGAGTCTGGAGCGGTGCTGTGAGTGTGCGGTGCTGTGAGTACACGGTGCGTTATCGCAGTGTCTACTAGTGGTGAGTGACAGTGGGAGTCTGGGCGGTGCTGTGAGTGTGCGGTGCTGTGAGTACACGGTGCGTTATCGCAGTGTCTACTAGTGGTGAGTGACAGTGGGAGTCTGGGGCGGTGCTGTGAGTACACGGTGCTGTGAGTACACGGTGCGTTATCGCAGTGTCTACTAGTGGTGAGTGACAGTGGGAGTCTAGGGCGGTGCTGTGAGTACACGGTGCTGTGAGTGCACGGTGCGTTATCGCAGTGTCTACTAGTGGTGAGTGACAGTGGGAGTCTGGGGCGGTGCTGTGAGTGTGCGGTGCTGTGAGTACACGGTGCTGTGAGTACACGGTGCTGTGAGTACACGGTGCGTTATCGCAGTGTCTACTAGTGGTGAGTGACAGTGGAGTCTAGGGCGGTGCTGTGAGTGTGCGGTGCTGTGAGTACACGGTGCGTTATCGCAGTGTCTACTAGTGGTGAGTGACAGTGGGAGTCTGGGGCGGTGCTGTGAGTACACGGTGCGTTATCGCAGTGTCTCTGAGTGGTGAGTGATAGTGGGAGTCCTAGGGCGGTGCTGTGAGTGTGCGGTGCTGTGAGTACACGGTGCGTTATCGCAGTGTCTACTAGTGGTGAGTGACAGTGGGAGTCTGGGGCGGTGCTGTGAGTACACGGTGCGTTATCGCAGTGTCTACTAGTGGTGAGTGATAGTGGGAGTCTTGGCAGTGCTGTGAGTGTGCGGTGCTGTGAGTACACGGTGCGTTATCGCAGTGTCTACTAGTGGTGAGTGACAGTGGGAGTCTGGGGCGGTGCTGTGAGTGTGCGGTGCTGTGAGTACACGGTGCGTTATCGCAGTGTCTACTAGTGGTGAGTGATAGTGGGAGTCTAGGGCGGTGCTGTGAGTGTGCAGTGCTGTGAGTACATGGTGCGTTATCGCAGTGTCTACTAGTGGTGAGTGACAGTGGGAGTCTAGGGCGGTGCTGTGAGTGTGCAGTGCTGTGAGTACATGGTGCGTTATCGCAGTGTCTACTAGTGGTGAGTGACAGTGGGAGTCTGGGGCGGTGCTGTGAGTACACGGTGCTGTGAGTACACGGTGCTGTGAGTACACGGTGCGTTATCGCAGTGTCTACTAGTGGTGAGTGACAGTGGGAGTCTGGGGCGGTGCTGTCAGTGTGCGGTGCTGTGAGTACACGGTGCGTTATCGCAGTGTCTACTAGTGGTGAGTGACAGTGGGAGTCTAGGGCGGTGCTGTGAGTACATGGTGCGTAATCGCAGTGTCTCCGAGTGGTGAATCATAGTGGGAGTCTGGGGCGGTGCTGTGAGTGTGCGGTGCGCTGCACTGCTGGTGAGATAGGGAAGTGAATGCGGTGTTGGTAACGCGTCGAGTGTGACACAAGCACCGGTATTGATCCGCGACACGGGCCGCTGCCCGCGTCTCCGTGTGTCCCCACGCGTCCTCTGATGTGTCTCCGCGAGACTCGGTGCGTCGCCGTGAGTCTCCGTGTGTCTCCGTGTCCACTTGTGCCTTCCTTTGTGTGCCCTTCCATGTCACGATATGTCATCCTGCGTCTCTCTATGTTTCCTAGATTCTCCCCGTGTCCCTTTGTATGTCTCCGTGTTCCCCTGTGCCTCCCTCTAGCCCCCTGTGTGCCCTAACATCTCTCCGTATCTCCCTGTATGCTTGTGGCCCCCTCTGCCTCCGTCTATCCCCGTGTCTCTCTGTGTCCCCTTGTCCCCCTGCTGTCCCCCGCCGTATCTCAACTGTGCGCTTGAGTCTCGTTCTGTCAGTCCTCTCGATATGAAAACGCTCCGCGAGGGAAAACGTCCAAACATCCCAGTGCAGGACCCTCCTTGGGAAGCGTCTTGAGACTCGATGAATCTTTGCTCGATGAACAACTCTCTTGATCAATCTTGCTTTTGAAATGCATTCTTGTGCCTCCGTGTCTCCGTGTGTCTCTGGTTTCAGCAGCACCAGCACTTGCAGAAGCATCAGCAGCAGCAGCAGCATCACCAGCAGCAGCATCAGCAACACCACCATCAGCAGCATCACCAGCAGTAGCATCAGCAACACCAGCAGCATCAACAGCAGCAAAAACAGCATCAGCAGGAGCATCAGCAGTAGCATCAGCAACACCAGCAGCATCAACAGCAGCAAAAACAGCAGCACCAGCAGCAGCATCACCAGCAGTAGCATCAGCAACACCAGCAGCATCAACAGCAGCAAAAACATCACCAGAAGTAGCATCAGCAACACCAGCAGCATCAACAGCAGCATCAACAGCAGCATCAGCAACACCAGCAGCATCACCAGCAGTAGCATCAGCAGCATCACCAGCAGTAGCATCAGCAACACCAGCAGCATCAACAGCAGCAAAGACAGCATCAGCAGCAGCAGGAGCAACACCAGCATCAGCAGCAGTAGCATCAGCATCACCAGCAGCATCAACAGCAGCATAAACAGCATCACCAGCAGCAGGAGCATCAGCAGCATCACCAGCAGTAGCATCAGCAACACCAGCAGCATCAACAGCAGCATCAACAGCAGCAAAGACAGCATCAGCAGCAGCAGGAGCAACACCAGCATCAGCAGCAGTAGCATCAGCATCACCAGCAGCATCAACAGCAGCATAAACAGCATCACCAGCAGCAGGAGCATCAGCAAGGTCAGCAGCAGAAGAAGCAAAAGCAGCACTCGCAGCAGAAGCAGCAGGAACATCAGCACCATCGTCATCATCGTCGTCGTCATCATCAGCCGGGATGAGGAGGATGAGAGGGAGGGGCCGCACGCCCAGCCCGGGCCCCGCCGGGTCCCCAGCGCGCAGCCCGTCCCCGGGGACGGGGCCCCAACGGGGGTCCTCACGCACCGGTGGGGGGGGGCCTGGCGGAGGTTCCGTGACCCCCGTGACCCCCGTGGCACAGGCAGCAGCAGCAGCGGGGCAACCTCACAGCTCGCGCGACAACAGCGATGGTGAGGGGGGGGGGGGCCGGGGTCACGGAGGGACCGGAGGGGGGGGAGGGGCCACCCTTTCCCACGTGGGTTTTGGGCCGCGCCGCTGAGAGAGCGTCAGAGGTCGCAACCGGGTACCCGATACCCGTACCCTACCCGATACCCGGCTATCCGTACCCGGCTGGGTACGGGTACGGGTACCGTTTGCAACCCTGGTGCGGCCGGGTACGGGGACGGGTAGGCCGTGAGTCACTGGTGAGTCACCGTTTGTCACTCATTTCGGGTAGGGTACGGGTAGGGAACGGGTACCCGTACCCGTATCCGGCCAGGTACCGGTACGGGTACCCATTTGTGACCCTGGTGCAGCCGGGTACGGGTAAGGAATCAAAACCCGTTTGCGACCTCTGCTGTGCTTTGCTGTTACGCGTGACGATAACTATAAATCATAGTTTTAGTTTCACATCGCGTCGGTCATGCTCATTGCATCTCACAACGCTGCACAATAATGACATGCATAATCACGTTAAGGGATGAATGCTATATTCGGAGGGTTTCATATTAAGTAAATTAAACCCTGAGAAATTTTATTTTATATATTAAAAACAAAAAATGATCGCGTTTCACTCGGCATGCTGGGAGCTTCTACACGAATTGGGTTTTCAGTTCCCAGCTGCATGTGTGCGTGCACCTGTGTATGTGTGTGCCTGTGTGTGGGGAGCGATGCACCTAGCCTGGCACAAGCGCCATGGTGACCAATAGCGGTGGTGGTTGTTGTTGTTGGAAAGCGGTGGCGCAGTGGTTCGTGCAATCCCGGCGGGCCGACTTCGATTCCCGCTCGTGGCCAATTTCAGTGACGGCGAATATTTGAACCGGTCCTGGGTCTCTCTTATGTCGACTCAGCCTTAAATTAGTACCTGGTGCACTATCTAAACATCTCCACTAGGGAGACAAAAGCGGCCGGGCATGGTGCTGCTGGCCACCCACCCCCTCGTGTGCCGTGCCGGCCTTCGTCGGTGCTGCTACTCGCTAACGCCACATGCCCCAAATAGTCCGTGAAGGCTACACGGGGGATCTTTGTGTTGCCCGTGTGCACGCGCGGTGCCAGCAGAGGAGCGGGAGGAGGGAGGGGAGCTGTCGGCACGTGGCGACGCCGTCCCGGTGGAGGAGGGCGTGCGCTACATCACCGAGGCGTTGCTGCGCCGCGTGAGCCGGCAGGAGGACCTGGCGCTCGTGCGCTCCCTCAACCTGGCGCTGGCGCGCGACGGCGGCAAGAAGTTCCGCGTACGGCACAGACGCGGGGCAGACACGGCGCGCAGACACTGCACAGACGCGGGGCAGACACGGCGCGCAGACACTGCACAGACGCGGGGCAGACACGGCGCGCAGACACTGCACAGACGCGGGGCAGACACGGCGCGCAGACACTGCACAGACGCGGGGCAGACACGGCGCGCAGACACTGCACAGACGCGGGGCAGACACGGCGCGCAGACACTGCACAGATGCGGGGCAGACACGGCACAGACGCGGGGCAGACACGGCGCGCAGACACTGCACAGATGCGGGGCAGACACGGCACAGACGCGGGGCAGACACGGCGCGCAGACACTGCACAGACGCGGGGCAGACACGGCGCGCAGACACTGCACAGATGCGGGGCAGACACGGCGCGCAGACACCGCACAGACACGGAATAGACACGGCACAGACGCGGAATAGACACGGCGCGCAGACACCACACAGACACGGAATAGACACGGCACAGACGCGGAATAGACACGGCGCGCAGACACCGCACAGACACGGCACAGACACCGCACAGACACGGCACAGACACGGCACAGACACGGCACAGACACGGCACAGACGCGGAATAGACACGGCACAGACGCGGAATAGACACGGCGCGCAGACACGGCACAGACACGGCACAGACACGGCACAGACATGGCACAGATGCGGGGCAGACACGGCGCGCAGACACCGCACAGACACGGCACAGACACGGCACAGACACGGAATAGACACGGCACAGACACGGAACGTACTTGCCGCAGACAAGGACCAGACATGGCACAGACACGGATCATACTCACTGCAGACACGGCACAGACGCGGAATGGACATGGCACAGACACGGAACGTACTCGGTGCAGACACGGAATAGACACGGCACAGACACGGAATAGACACGGCACAGACAGGGAATAGACACGGCACAGACACGGAACGTATTTGGCACACACACATGGACAGGAGCGGCCCGTCCATATAGGCGAACTAGGCGGTGGCCTAGGGCGCCAAGTTCAGTGGGGTGCCAAATTCTATTAAAAAAATACAAAAATATACAAACAATATAACGACAACGTAATTGTTTCAATTCCCGTGCGTGTACAGAGGGAATATGAATTATATTTCATCTCTCAACATTTTTGGGAATGCATTGGTCGGACAGACGGACAATCCGAATAATTATGCCTCTGTTTAAAACAATACGCTTAAAAAAAACATTAAATGGAAAAGAGGGGCAAAATTCTAGATTTGAAGCTTTCGTGACTGCAAGGATTCATACTCTTTGGTCTTGTCGGTAAAGTCACGTAGGTAAAAAAATAAAATAAAATAAATGAAAACAACTAAATTAAATCACGACGTTTCGGGCGCAACACAAGCGTCCTTCTTCAGGGCGGGGACAACGTAGCGAAAGCACAACCGCTTAAGTGTGTCTCAGAGATGGCTGTGACGAGAGGTTATATAGTCACGGGGGATGGAGGGAAGGGCAAAATGTTTACCAGTTTACCAAGTACCTGAGCCTTGATCATTGTTTTTTTACCCTTCTATCTGGCAACAAAACTGACACCTTTTTTACAAGGAGTCATGTTTACACCAACCACAATACATGCGGTCATAATGCAAACAAAAAACATAACTCTGATAATGTGCACTGTCCTTGAAGTTGATTGGTCCACACCCGAGACAGCTTTCCTTAGAGCCTAGTCTCACATGGGTTGGACCAGATGACGCCAAAAGGCGCACAACTCAAAGACAATGCACCATCAGAGTATGAGAGCTCGGGGTAAGAATTTACACCATTGGAACCTCATTTTGCCAGTAAAAAATATGATAATTGTTTTTTTACCCTTCTATCTGGTAACAAAACTGACACCTTTTTTACAAAGAGTCATGTTTGCATAGACCACAATACCTACGGTCATAATACAAACAAAAAACATAACTCAGATAATGTATGCACTGTCCTTGAAGTTGATTGGTCCACACCCGAGACAGCTTTCCTTAGAGCCTAGTCTCACATGGGTTGGACCAGATGACGCCAAAAGGCGCACAACTCAAAGACAATGCACCATCAGAGTATGAGAGCTCGGGTGAAGCATTTACACCATTGGAACCTCATTTCTTTTTTTTGCATTATGACTGCAGGTATTGTGGTCTATGTAAACATGACTCCTTGTAGAAAAAGATGTCAGTTTTGTTGCCAGATAGAAGGGTACAAAACCAATTATCATATTTTTTACTGGCAAATGAGGTTCCAATGGTGTAAATACCTCAGCCTTGATCTGCCAATTGCATGGTTCGCCTAGGGCGCCAGTTGCTGGCAGCTAGTCTAGGGCCGCCCCTGGACTAGATACGTGGTGTCGTGCACACATGCTCTCCGCCCCGTGTGTACTGCACATACAGCCTCACCCCTCTGTCGTGCGTGCTGCACAGTACATAGAGAACCTGGAGCGCTGTGAGCGGCTGGAGGTGCTCACGTTGAGTCACAACGTCATCGAGAAGATGGAGCACATGGAGCGGCTGGGGTCCCTACGCGAGCTCCACCTGTCCCACAACCTCATCAGGTACGGCCTGTCACACACCCTGTCGCAGCCTCGATACTTACAGACTCTCTCTCACTCACACACACACACACACGTCACAACCTCAATACTCACAGCCTGTCTCACTCACACACACACACGTCACAACCTCAATACTCACAGACTCTCTCACTCACACACACACGTCACAACCTCAATACTTACAGCATCTCTCTCTCACACACACGCACACACGTCACAACCTCAATACTTACAGCATGTCTCTCTCACTCACACACACACGTCACAACCTCAATACTTACAGACTCTCTTTCTCACACACACACACACACACGTCACAACCTCAATACTCACAGACTCTCTCTCACACACACACACCTCGTCACAACCTCAATACTCACAGACTCTCTCACTCACACACACACACACGTCACAACCTCAATACTCACAGACGCTCTCTCACTCACACACACACGTCACAACCTCAATACTCACAGACTCTCTCTCACACACACACACACTCGGCACAACCTCAATACTCACAGACTCTCTCTCTCACACACACACACACACGTCACAACCTCAATACTCACAGACTCTCTCTCTCTCACACACACACCTCGTCACAACCTCAATACTCACAGACTCTCTCTCACTCACACACACACACCTCGTCACAACCTCAATACTCACAGACTCTCTCACTCACACACACACACACACGTCACAACCTCAATACTCACAGACTCTCTCACTCACACACACACACACACACACGTCACAACCTCAATACTCACAGACTCTCTCTCACACACACACACACGTCACAACCTCAATACTCACAGACTCTCTCTCACACTCACACACACACACCTCGTCGCAACCTCAATACTCACAGACTCTCTCTCTCACACACACACACACACGTCACAACCTCAATACTCACAGACTCTCTCATACACACACACACACCTCGTCGCAACCTCAATACTCACAGACTCTCTCTCTCACACACACACACCTCGTCGCAACCTCAATACTCACAGACTCTCTCACTCACACACACACACACACGTCACAACCTCAATACTCACAGACTCTCTCTCTCACACACACACACACCTCGTCGCAACCTCAATACTCACAGACTCTCTCTCTCACACACACACACACACCTCGTCACAACCTCAATACTCACAGACTCTCTCACTCACACACACACACACCTCGTCACAACCTCAATACTCACAGACTCTCACACTCACACACACACACCTCGTCACAACCTCAATACTCACAGACTCTCTCACACTCACACACACACACCTCGTCACAACCTCAATACTCACAGACTCTCTCACACTCACACACACACACCTCGTCGCAACCTCAATACTCACAGACTCTCTCACACTCACACACACACACGTCGTCGCAAACTCAATACTCACAAACTCTCTCTCGCTCACACACCCACCTCGTCGCAACCTCAATACTCACAGACTCTCTCGCTCACACACACACACACACACGTCGTCGCAAACTCAATACTCACAGACTCTCTCGCTCACACACACACACACACACCTCGTCACAACCTCAATACTCACAGACTCTCTCTCTCACACACACACACACACACCTCGTCACAACCTCAATACTCACAGACTCTCTCGCTCACACACACACACACCTCGTCACAACCTCAATACTCACAGACTCTCTCGCTCACACACACACACACCTCGTCACAACCTCAATACTCACAGACTCTCTCGCTCACACACACACACACACGTCGTCGCAAACTCAATACTCACAGACTCTCTCACACTCACGTCGTCACAAACTCACCAAAACCGAGTCACAACCTCGTCAGGTACGGCCGTCTCACACTCACGCACCTGCACCCTACACCCAGGACCCTGCACTCAGCACCCTGCATCCTGCACCTGCACTCTGTAGCCCTCTCTGTCAAAGTGTCCCACACAGTCGTGGAATACCCTCACTGACACCTGGGTAGGGAGCACAGTGACAGTGACAGTCACTGCTACTGCGACTGCCACTGCCACTGTCACAGTGACTGTCACAGTCACTGCCACTGCGACTGACACTGTAACTGACACAGTGACTGACACAGTGACAGTGACAGTCACTGCGACTGCCACTGTAACTGACACAGTGAGTGACACAGTGACTGACACTGACACTGCCACTGCGACTGCCACTGTAACTGACACAGTGAGTGACACAGTGACTGACACTGACACTGCCACTGCGACTGCCACTGTAACTGACACAGTGAGTGACACAGTGACTGACACTGACACTGTCACTGCCACTGCGACTGCCACTGTAACTGACACAGTGAGTGACACAGTGACTGACACTGACACTGCCACTGCGACTGCCACTGTAACTGACGCAGTGAGTGACACAATGACTGACACTGTCACTGCCACTGTGACTGCCACTGTAACTGACACAGTGACTGACACAATGACTGACACTGTGACCGCTGGCAAGGAAGAGGAGGGGAGGAGTGGCGTGTATGGAGGACACCCCACGAGAGTGTTGTTGTTGTTGTTGCTGCTGCTGCTGCTGTTGTTGTTGTGTCTGCACCACCTCTGCTAGGAAGATCGAGGGCCTGGAGCACATGGCGCAGTTGCAGACGCTGGCGCTCGCCTCCAACCAATTGGAAGCCATCCCCGCGTGGCTGCCACGCCGCCTGCGCTGCCTCCGCTCGCTGGACCTCCGGGACAACAACATCACCTCGGTGAGGGGCGTGGGGAGAGTGGTGAGGAGGGGCGCTAGGGCATCGCCATGGTGATGATCGTGGTGAGGAGGTGGGGGGTAGGATATCACCATGGTGATGATCGTGGTGAGGAGGAGGGGCGCTAGGACATCGCCATGGTGATGATCGTGGTGAGGAGGAGGGGCGCTAGGATATCACCATGGTGATGATCGTGGTGAGGAGGAGGGGCGCTAGGGCATCGCCATGGTGATGATCGTGGTGAGGAGGAGGAGCGCTAGGATATCGCCATGGTGATGATCGTGGTGAGGAGGAGGGGCGCTAGGATATCGCCATGGTGATGATCGTGGTGAGGAGGAGGGGCACTAGGACATCACCATGGTGATGATCGTGGTGAGGAGGAGGGGCGCTAGGATATCGCCATGGTGATGATCGTGGTGAGGAGGAGGGGCGCTAGGATATCGCCATGGTGACGATCGTGGTGAGGAGGTGGGGCGCTAGGATATCGCCATGGTGACGATCGTGGTGAGGAGGAGGGGCGCTAGGATATCGCCATGGTGATGATCGTGGTGAGGAGAGGCGTGAGGGCATCGCCATGGTGATGATCGTGGTGAGGAGGAGGGGCGCTAGGAGATCGCCATGGTGAGGAGCGTGGTGAGGAGGAGGAGCGCTAGGAGATCGCCATGGTGAGGAGCGTGGGGAGAGTGGTGAGGAGAGGCGCTAGGATATCGCCATGGTGATGATCGTGGTGAGGAGGAGGGGCGCTAGGGCATCGCCATGGTGATGATCGTGGTGAGGAGAGGCGCGAGGGCATCGCCATGGTGACGATCGTGGTGAGGAGAGGCGCGAGGGCATCGCCATGGTGAGGAGCGTGGGGAGAGTGGTGAGGAGAGGCGCTAGGGCATCGCCATGGTGATGATCGTGGTGAGGAGAGGCGCGAGGGCATCGCCATGGTGGCGATCGTGGTGAGGAGGAGGGGCGCTAGGACATCGCCACGGTGAAGAGGGTGGGGAGTGGGGAGGGGTGTGTAAACATCACCACCGTGGAGATAAAGGTGGCCGGACGTGGTGCTGGCCACCCACCCACCACCCTTTCGTGTGCCGTGCCGACCTTCATAGGTGCTCGCAAACAGCACTTGCCCCTACAGTCTGTTAAGGCTATACGGGGGATCTTTATCTTTGTGTGTGTGTGCACGCGGCGTACAGCTGCAGGACGTGAGCCGGCTGAAGGCGCTGCAGGGGTTGGTGTCGCTGGCGCTGGCGGGGAACCCCGTGGCGGCGCTACCGCACTACCGGGCGCACACGGTGTTCCACCTGCGCTCGCTCGAGCGGCTCGACGCGCAGCCCGTGAGTGACGCGGAGCGCCAACTCGCCCACCAGCGCTTCCACCTGGGTGAGCGTCGCCACCGCCCACCGCTCACCGCCTGCCACCCACAACTCACTACCCACAGCTCACTACCGTCACGATCACTGCCCACTGATAGTGGGGTAGAAGGGAAATAATAAAATATTAAAAATAAAACATAATAAAATACAATTCTCAGTGAGAATTATTTTATTATGTTTTATTTTTACTCTCAGTTAGAATTATTTTATTATTTTTTATTTCTTTTATTTTATTATTTCCCTTCTACGTGACTTTACCGAAAGAACCAAGAAGATGAATCCCTGCAGTCACGAAAGCTTTAAATCGAGACTTAAGTGCCGTGGTGGCGAATGGCGATCATTGTTGTTGTCGTCGTTGTTGTTGTTGTGCGCGCGCGTGCGAGTAGAGGAGGTGGAGCGGCTGGAAGCGGCTCTGGCCGAGCGGCAGGCCCAGCTGGAGTCGTCCTCACGGCTTCAGGAGGAGTCGGCCGCGGCCCTGCTGCAGCGCGAGCAGCAGCTGCTGGCGCTGCAGCAGGAGCGGAGCGAGCGCGACGGCTCCGTGCACGAGCTGCAGCGCGAGCTGCACACCAAGAACCAGCTGGTGCGGCGCCACGCGTACGCCAGCGGGCGCGTGCTGTGTGTGCGTGTGTGTGTGGGGGGCGTTCGTAGGTGCTACTCGCTAACAGCACTTGCCCCAACTGTCTGTTAATGCTATATAGGGGACCTTTGTATTTGTATGCGGCATTCATAGGTGCTACTCACAGCACTTGCCTCAACTGTCTGTTAATGTTCTTAGGTTTTTTTCGGTAAAGTCACGTAGGTAAAAAAAATTTAAATTAAAAAAAGTAAAATAAAATAAAAATACTTTTATTAATTTTAATTTTTTTACCTACGTGACTTTATCGAAAAAACCTAAGGAATATGAATCATTGCAGTCACGAAAGCTTCTAATCTAGAATGTCTGTTAATGCTATATAGGGGACCTTTGTATTTGCATGCGGCCTTCATAGGTGCTACTCGCTAACAGCACTTGCCCAACAGTATTTTAATGCTATATAGGGGACCTTTGTATTTGTATGCGGCCTTCATAGGTGCTACTCGCTAACAGCACTTGCCCCAACAGTCTGTTGATGCTATATAGGGGACCTTTGTATTTGTATGCGGCATTCGTAGGTGCTACTCACAGCACTTGCCCCAACAGTCTGTTAATGCGATATGGGGGAGCTTTGTATTTGTATGCGACCTGCATAGGTGCTACTCGCTAACAGCACTTGCCCCAACAGTCTGTCAAGGCTAAATGGGGGATCTTTGTAAATGTAAGTGTGTGTGTCAATGTGTGTGTGTGGAGCGGTAGTGTATCAGTTAGCGTGCTGCGCTATGAACCCGGTGACCCAAATTCAATTCTTTACACTGGTCAACACACTTTTTCTGGCATAAGGTATTCCAACGGGTGTAAGGTAATGTTGGGGTGCTGATTCCAAATCTGGCATCAGTTTTTTTTCTATCAAATATTGCATTTTCAATAAAAACTGCAGAAGAAAAATATTAAATAAATGTGGATATCTACATAAAATTATATTATAAACACACTATCCTAAAAATACAGCACCATATTTTAACACTAAAGCAGTCACTGACTCGCAACGACTTGCAATCATAAGTGACAGAGTTAATTTCGGGTAAAATCAATGAAAATGGGGTATGCCGATAGCATAAAATGAGATGTGATAGAGCAAATCTGAGATCAGATTTGGAATCAGCACCCTGAAATTAGTCTAGAACAGCTGCAAATGTCCAGGCCAGAAAACAATGTTTTTTTTTGTTGACCAGTGTTATCTGAACCTGCCGGGGGCCTCCCCTAGATCGACTCAGACTCAAATGAGTACCTGGTGCGGTGTGTAAACATCTCCGCTGGGGAGACAAAGGCGGCCGGACGTGGTGTTGCTGGCCTTTCGTAGGCGCCGCTCGCTAACAGCACTTGCCCCAGCAGCCTGTTAAAGCCTACACGGGGGGTCTTTGTCTTTGCTTTACTTCATGGGACTCTCTCCGCTCTCTCCGCGTCTCTCCTCTGCGCTTCCCGTGCCGTCGTGCGTCTGCTCTGGGTCCTCTGCTCCAAGCGCCAGCGCTAGCGGCACCGGTCCAGGTGCGTGGACGCGGCGCCAGCCCCACCGCTGAGCAAAACCCTCCCCGGGGGGGTGGCGCTCACAGCCAGCGCGGGGGTGCCGGGGTCAGGGCTCGCACACCCTAACCCCGTAACTCTTCACCCTCGAACCCCCAGGCATAGCGAACCCTCGAAACTCAGCCTTACCTGGTGCTCACACGACCCTCAGCCTGACCTCATCATCAAACCTTGCCTCGACCCCATCCTGACCTCACCCTGAGCTCATCGTAACTTCACCGTAACCTCATCCTCGCATCGTTCTTACCTTACCCTAACCCTCATCTCATCCGAACATTCTCCGAACCTCAGCCTAATGTTAACATCACCGTAAACTCGTTTTAAATCCTTTATATTAAGTTCACTTGCTTGCTTACGACCGTGCAAATCTTTCGGTCGTTTTTTAACCCACTTACCGTGATCCAATCGAGCTGACATTTTGCACACAGACTCGTTGTGCGTGACAATGTATTTTCGTGAACATTTTTTTCCAAAATTTTACACTTTTTAGGAATTATATTTATTTATTTAATTACCAATTGCTTAATGGTGGCAGACAATCATCTGACCCATAGGTGGCAGCTATCTCAAGCCAGAGGACGAGAGGACTCTAGCCGCCACGCATATAAAGGATTTATAGTGAAAAACGTTTTTTTACGGGTTAATTTTTTAAACCCCTAACCTCACCCGAACTCCTCGCCTCACCCAAACCCTAAGCCGAGCCAACCTTCTAACCTCAACCTTATGGTCACACTGACCCTACCCTGACCTCACCATCAAAGTCTTGATCCTAATCTCACCCTGACCTCATCGTAACGTTACCACATACTTCATCTAACCTCACCCCAACCTTACCCTAATCTCATTGAAAAGTCTTCTCTTAGCCTAATATTAACATACCGTAACCTCGTCCTAACCCCTAGCTTCACCCTCATATCACGCTAACACCTCACTCTGACCTCACTGGAATCATTATTGTAACCTAATCCTGCTGTTAACTTTGGCCTAACCCTAATTGTCACCTAATCCTACCTGTAACCCTACCCTACCTCTAACCCTGATCTACCCTTAACCGTACCCTACCTGTAACCCTACCCTACCTGTAACCCTGACCTACCTTCACCCTACCCTACCTATAACCCAACTCTACCTGTAACTCTACCCTACCTGTAACCCAACCCTACCTGTAACCCTACCCTACCTGTAACCCAACTCTACCTGTAACTCTACCCTACCTGTAACCCAACTCTACCTGTAACTCTACCCTACCTGTAACCCAACCCTACCTGTAACCCTGACCTACCTGTAACCCTACCCTACCTTCACCCTACCCTACCTGTAACCCTGACCTACCTGTAACCCTGACCTACCTGTAACCCTGACCTACCTTCACCCTACCCTACCTGTAACCCTGACCTACCTGTAACCCTACCCTACCTGTAACCCTACCCTACCTGTAACCCTACCCTACCTGTAACCCTACCCTACCTGTAACCCTACCCTACCTGTAACCCAACCCTACCTGTAACCCTACCCTACCTGTAACCCTACCCTACCTGTAACCCTACCCTACCTGTAACCCTACCCTACCTGTAACCCTACCCTACCTGTAACCCTACCCTACCTTTAACCCTGACCTACCTGTAACCCTACCCTACCTGTAACCCAACCCTACCTGTAACCCTACCCTACCTGTAACCCTGACCTACCTTCACCCTACCCTACCTGTAACCCTACCCTACCTGTAACCCTACCCTACCTGTAACCCTACCCTACCTGTAACCCTACCCTACCTGTAACCCTACCCTACCTGTAACCCTGACCTACCTGTAACCCTACCCTACCTGTAACCCTACCCTACCTGTAACCCTACCCTACCTGTAACCCTGACCTACCTGTAACCCTACCCTACCTGTAACTCTACCCTACCTGTAACCCTGACCTACCTGTAACCCTACCCTACCTGTAACCCTACCCTACCTGTAACCCTGACCTACCTGTAACCCTACCCTACCTGTAACCCTACCCTACCTGTAACCCTGACCTACCTTCACCCTACCCTACCTGTAACCCTACCCTACCTGTAACCCTACCCTACCTGTAACCCTGACCTACCTTCACCCTACCCTACCTGTAACCCTACCCTACCTTTAACCCTGACCTACCTGTAACCCTACCCTACCTGTAACCCTACCCTACCTGTAACCCTGACCTACCTGTAACCCTACCCTACCTGTAACCCTACCCTACCTTCACCCTACCCCAGCTGTAACCCTACCCTACCTGTAACCCTGACCTACCTGTAACCCTACCCTACCTGTAACCCTACCCTACCTGTAACCCTACCCTACCTGTAACCCTACCCTACCTGTAACCCTACCCTACCTGTAACCCTACCCTACCTGTAACCCTACCCTACCTGTAACCCTACCCTACCTGTAACCCTACCCTACCTGTAACCCTACCCTACCTGTAACCCTACCCTACCTGTAACCCTACCCTACCTGTAACCTACCCTACCTGTAACCCTGACCTACCTGTAACCCTACCCTACCTGTAACCCTACCCTACCTGTAACCCTGACCTACCTGTAACCCTACCCTACCTGTAACCCTACCCTACCTGTAACCCTGACCTACCTGTAACCCTACCCTACCTGTAACCCTACCCTACCTGTAACCCTACCCTACCTGTAACCCTGACCTACCTTCACCCTACCCTACCTGTAACCCTACCCTACCTGTAACCCTACCCTACCTGTAACCCTGACCTACCTTCACCCTACCCTACCTGTAACCCTACCCTACCTTTAAACCCTGACCTACCTGTAACCCTACCCTACCTGTAACCCTACCCTACCTGTAACCCTGACCTACCTGTAACCCTACCCTACCTGTAACCCTACCCTACCTTCACCCTACCCCAGCTGTAACCCTACCCTACCTGTAACCCTGACCTACCTGTAACCCTACCCTACCTGTAACCCTACCCTACCTGTAACCCTACCTGTAACCCTACCCTACCTGTAACCCTACCCTACCTGTAACCCTACCCTACCTGTAACCCTACCCTACCTGTAACCCTACCCTACCTGTAACCCTACCCTACCTGTAACCCTACCCTACCTGTAACCCTGACTTACCTTCACCCTACCCCAGCTGTAACCCTAACCCTGGCAGGGAGCAGGTGAGCGTCACTCCGCACGAGGTGCTCTGTGCCATCTGGCTGCAGTTGTGATTCCTTCGTTGGCGTTTGGGTCGTTCTGTTCTTACTTCCTTCATTCAGTGCCCATTCCCTCTCCTCGTCGGTTGACTCATGCAGATGCCCTGGCCTCCACCGTAGACTTAGCCTGACAATGTGACCTTTAACCCAGAACCTTTGACCTCAACCCCCAACCCCAAACACCGTAACCCTCCACTCCTAGCTCATTTCAGCTTTCCATTGACCCCGTAACCCCGAACTCTTCGAAACCCCTCACCTCGACCCCTGACTCTTTACATTGACCCCGTAACCCCGAACTCTTCGAAACCCCTCACCTCGACCCCTGACTCCAAACTCCTTACCCCTTATACAACTCTTAGTTCTTTCGGTAAAGTCACGTAGGTAAAAAATGAAATTAAAATTAATAAAAAATAAAACACTAAAATCACGACGTTTCGGAGGCAACACAAGTCTCCGTCATCAGGTGGGACCGTCACAGCCAGATTTGTATTTAAGAACTTGCATCTTGAATCCCTGCCTCACTTGATGCAGCAAATCTGGCTGTGACGGTCCCACCTGATGACGGAGACTTGTGTTGCCTCCGAAACGTCGTGATTTTAGTGTTTTATTTTTATTAATTTTAATTTCATTTTTTTTACCTACGTGACTTTACCGAAAGAACTAAGAGTATGAATCCTTGCAGTCACGAAAGCTTCAAATCTAGAATCCTTACCCCTTCCCATTAACCCCTAACCTCTAACCCTCTCACATGCCTGGCTCTTAACGCCCAACATCTGACCGCCTAGCCTCTAACCTGTCAATCGTGACCCCTTCCCATTATCCCTTGCCCGTTACCCGTGCCCGGCTGTGACCCCATGACCTGTGACCCGTGCGTGTCTAACCCGTGACCTGTGACCCGTGACCCGCGTGCGGCTGCAGCTGAAGCAGAAGATGTTGGAGCTGACGCACGCGTGCCAGAAGCAGTACGAGCTGGAGCAGGAGCTCGCCTTCTACAAGATAGATGCCAAGTTCGACTCCCTGGGACACGCGCCGCCCCACGTAACACCCCCACGCACACTCGCTCACTCGCTCACTCGCAATCGCTCACTCTCACTCGCTCACTCTCACTCGCTCATTCGCTCTCACTCGCTCACTCGCTCACTCTCAATCGCTCACTCTCACTCGCTCGCTCTCACTCGCTCGCTCGCTCTCACTCGCTCACTCGCTCACTCGCTCACTCTCAATCGCTCACTCTCACTCGCTTACTCTCAATCGCTCACTCTCACTCGCTCTCACTCACTCACTCGCTCGCTCGCTCACTCTCACTTGCTTACTCTCACTCGCTCACTCACACTCACTCGCTCACTCTCACTCACTCGCTCACTCTCGCTCACTCTCACTCGCTTACTCTCAAGCGCTTACTCTCAATCACTCACACTCACTCACACAGCCTTGGACACATGCCACTCCATGTCGTCCCCACTCGTGAGCACGCATGTATTCTAGTGCGCAAAACTTGCATGCGCACGTATGCACGTGTGCACACGTTAATCTGCATGAACACGTGCATGTTCACGTGCATGTGCGTGTGTGTGCGTGTGACCGGTCGTGCGTGCGTGTGCGTGCGTGATGGCGTGTGCGTGCGCTCTTGCCCGCAGGCCGGCGGGGACGACGACGACGACGACGAGTCGCCGCAGCAGCTGGCGCCCGGCGAGAGCCCGTACATCGGCAAGGCGCGCTACAAGCGGAACGAGTTCGCGGGAGAGAGCCGCGTGCGGCTGTCCCCTGCGCGCCACGCGGCACTCGGCTCCGTGCAGAGCGACGGCGCCGCCACCGCGTCCCCAGCGCCAGGCACCGGCGGGGACATCACGGACGCCGTCGATCAGCAGCTCGCGCTCAAGCGGCTCGCGCTGGCCGAAGGTACGGCGGCGGTCACGGGGGAGCAGAGGTCGCAAACGTGTTTTGATTCCTTACCCGTCTACCCGTACCCGGCCGCACCAGGGTCGCAAACGGGTACCCGTACCCGTACCCGGCCGTACCCGTACCCTACCCGTACCCGGCCGGGTAGGGTACGGGTATCGGGTACCCGATTGCGACTTCTGGGATGAAGCCATGTTGCAGGCGCGGGTGGGTTGATTCTAGGAACTTGAATTGTGAGAAGAGACAAGACGTTGGGAAATGAGTGACAGTTACTCACCAGTGACTCACGGTCTACCCATACCCGGCCGCACCAGGGTCGCAAACGGGTACCCGAACCCGTACCCGGCTGGGTACGGGTAGCCGGGTATCGGGTAGGGTACGGGTATTGGGTACCCGGTTGCGACCTCTGCGGGGGAGACAGAGCGCAGCGGGGGGGGGGGCCCAGGAGAGGGGGGGGGGCAGGAGCGTTGTGTAGTAACAATCGCCGCTGGGGAAACGAAGGCGCCGGTCGTGGTGCTGGCCACCCACCCCCTTGCGTGCCACGCCGGTCTTCATAGGTGCTACTCGTTACTAACAGCACTTGTCCCTGCATTCCGATAAGGCTACACGGGAGGCCTTTGTCTTTGTGCCGTGTGCAGCCGAGCGCCGTCTGGCCGAGCTGCTGCAGGAGGTGGAGGCTGCCGAGCGCAGGAACCTGGCCGCTGCACAGGAGCTGCAGCGGCTGGAGGACGCGGCCGCCCAGGGCAAGGTGAGAGGCACAGCCCAGAGCCAGAGCCTAGCCCGGACCCTGACTCTAGCCCAGAGCCTACCCCTGACTCTAACCCAGAGCCAGAGCCTACCCCTAACCCTGACTCTAGCCCCTAACCCAGAGCCTACCCCAGACTTTAACCCAGAGCCAGAGCCTAGCCCGGACTCTAGCCCAGAGCCAGAGCCTACCCCAGACTCTAACCCAGAGCCAGAGCCTAGCCCGGACTCTAGCCCAGAGCCAGAGCCTACCCCAGACTCTAACCCAGAGCCAGAGCCTAGCCCGGACTCTAGCCCAGAGCCAGAGCCTACCCCAGACTCTAACCCAGAGCCAGAGCCTAGCCCGGACTCTAGCCCAGAGCCAGAGCCTACCCCGGACTCTAGCCAAGAGCCAGAGCCTACCCCGGACTCTAGCCCAGAGCCTACCCCTTACCCTGACTCTAACCTTGTGTCTCTGTGTATCGCTCTGAGTCTCTGAGAATGGGCAATAGGGGAGAGGTGAGACTTTAAGAGAGGAATGGAAGGGGGTTAAGGAGTGGGACTGCTTCATGTACGGGGGCAGTGTTGAGTCTATGGGCAGTGTTGAGTCTATGGGTAGTGTTGAGTCTATGGGCAGTGTTGAGTCTATGGGCAGTGTTGAGTCTATGGGTAGTGTTGAGTCTATGGGCAGTGTTGAGTCTATGGGCAGTGTTGAGTCTATGGGTAGTGTTGAGTCTATGGGTAGTGTTGAGTCTATGGGCAGTGTTGAGTCTATGGGCAGTGTTGAGTCTATGGGCAGTGTTGAGTCTATGGGCAGTGTTGAGTCTATGGGCAGTGTTGAGTCTATGGGTAGTGTTGAGTCTATGGGCAGTGTTGAGTCTATGGGCAGTGTTGAGTCTATGGGTAGTGTTGAGTCTATGGGCAGTGTTGAGTCTATGGGCAGTGTTGAGTCTATGGGAGTGTTGAGTCTATGGGCAGTGTTGAGTCTATGGGCAGTGTTGAGTCTATGGGTAGTGTTGAGTATATGGGCAGTGTTGAGTCCATGGGTGGTGTTGAGTCTATGGGCAGTGTTGAGTCTATGGCCAGTGTTGAGTCTCTGGGCAGTGTTGAGTCTATGGGCAGTGTTGAGTCTATGGGTAGTGTTGAGTCTATGGGCTGTGTTGAGTCTATGGTGCAGTGTTGAGTCTTTGGTGCAGTGTTGAGTCTATCGACAGTGCTCAATGTAGAGGGGGAGTTGATTGCAGTGGAGGGGTGCAAGTTGGGAGAAGCACCACAAAAGGGATTGGGCACAGGCAGAAGCAGGGACAGAGAGACAGAATGTTGCGAACGCCGACGGTCCATTGTGTAGCACTCGCCGGTTGCGTACGCACGCTCACTGTTGCGCGCACGTGCGGCGCGTTGCTGCGGCGGTGGTGAAGGCGCTGGAACAGCACCGCGAGTCCCTGCGCCGTGCGCTGGCGCGCAAGCTGGAGCTGCTGGGGCGGCTGCGCGTGGAGGCCGAGGAGCTGGAGCGACGCCTGGAGGCGCAGCGCACGGAGCTGGGGCGGCGGGGAGCGCAAGCGGCGCAGCTCCGGAGGGAGATCGCGGAGGAGCGCGGGGAGGACGGGCGCCGGCACGTGAGTGGCACGCGCGATGACGCTGGATGCAATTACCAGCGAAACGTCGCACTACTCAAATTGTAAATGTTGTGGTTTCACGCGTCAACTGCTGGATGCAATTACCAGCGAAACGTCGCACTACTCAAATTGTAAATGTTGTGGTTTCACGCGTCAACTGCTGGATGCAATTACCAGCGAAACGTCGCACTACTCAAACTGTAAATGTTGTGGTTTCACGCGTCAACTGCTGGATGCAATTACCAGCGAAACGTCGTGCTACTCAAATTGTAAATGTAGTGGTTTCACGCTTCAACACACCGCTGGGGCTAAAGCAGCGAACTATTTTGTCTTTTGTCAACGTGACACTTTTTTACCGATTGGCCGTGTCGGGTGGTGGAGGGTTACGACACATTTATAAATAACGCGATCTAAACCCAAAAACGTTGATTATGAATAATATTGGTCGCGAAAGTCTCACACATGTTAAACTGACGCAGGGGGAGGATTGGCTCATAGAGTGGGCAGTGTTGAGTCTATGGGCGTGCCATGTACATGCACATGGCACGCACATGGGACATGCACACGCAGAGACGTGCGGGGAGGACGGGCATGGGCACGTGAGTGGCACGCATGTGGCACGCACACGCAGAGACGCAGGGGGAGGATTGGCACATAGAGTGGCATGCACATGGCACGCACATGGCACACGCACACGCACACACGTGCTCGGAGGACGGGTGCGTGCACATGAGTGGCACGCACATGGCACACACACGTAGAGACGCGCGGCGCTAAGGGGCACTCGTCTTCTAGTGGCACACAGTGGCACACGGGGCGTGCGCGTGTGTACGGCCCAGTGCTCGTGCTGTGTGTTGCGAGTTCTGCCCGGGTCACCGTTGTTGTTGTTGTTCTGGGTTGACACTCGTGACGCCACGTTGGGCTCAATGAGCATCTCAGTAGCGGTGACTGAGCCTGGCTCAACTGCCGGTAATGAATCAAGACGATTCCAATACAACGTGGATCTGTAAAGCGGCTTGTGCATGTGACCGTGTCTCATGTGACGCCGCACAGGAACGAGGCGCAGTCGTAGGGCTCTGTGTGCGTCTGTGGGTCTTTATGTGAGTCAAAGGGTCTCTGTATGAGGGAGTGAGAGATAAATAGCCGGTCAGTAATATATCTCTCTCTTGGTGAGTCGGTGTCTACGGGAGAGGGAAAAAGAGGCAGTCATTTGGGGTTCTGTGTGGGGAAAAGAGGCTTTGTGTGAGTTTACGTGTAAGGTATGTGTGATGCATTTGGTATTGTGTGTTGTTATTGTGAGTGTGGTGCGGGTGTGTAATGTGTATGTGATATCTGTGGTGGATGATGTGTGTGATTCTATTGTATGTGGCGTGTTTAGTGTTTGTGTTATTGTGATGTCTATGATCTTTGTGGTGTGATGTGTGTGTAATGTGTGGTGTGTATAAAGTGTGTGATGTGTGTTATCGTGTTTGTAGTGTGTGTGTGTGGTGTGTATAAAGTATGTGATGTGTGTGGTGTGTGTTATCGTGTTTGTAGTGTGTGTGTGGTGTGTATAAAGTGTGTGATGTGTGTGGTGTGTTATCGTGTGGTGTTATCTGTATCGTGTTCGTAGTGTGTGTGTGTGGTGTGTATAAAGTGTGTGATGTGTGGTGTGTATAAAGTGTGTGATGTGTGTGGTGTGTGTTATCGTGTTTGTAGTGTGTGTGTGTGGTGTGTATAAAGTGTGTGATGTGTGGTGTGTATAAAGTGTGTGATGTGTGTGGTGTGTGTTATCGTGTTCGTAGTGTGTGTGTGTGGTGTGTATAAAGTGTGTGATGTGTGGTGTGTATAAAGTGCGTGATATGTGTGGTGTGTGTGGGATCTGTGTGCTGTGAGTGGCTGAGGTTGTGCGCGGCTGCACTGATGGGGGAGGAAGTGTCTGATCTCTATTATGCTGTGTGTAGTTTTGTGGTGAGTCTGTAGTGTGGTGTATGCGTAGTATGGTGTGTTGTGCAGTGTGGTGCAACTTTAGTGCCAAACACTGTTTGGCATCTTTTTCTCACTTATGCTCACACATGCCTTTGGGACAGCAGAAGAGGGAATCTTTCTCCATACGAGATCTGATGGCAAACTCTTCAACCTTGCCCATCTCAGATCCAAAACCAAAGCTCGCAAAGTCCTCACCAGAGAACTCCTATTCGCTGATGACGCCGCGCTGACAGCTCACACAGAACAAGGTCTTGCGGACACTCATCGACCACCTTGCCAATGCGTGCAACAACTTTGGCCTGACAATCAGTCTGAAAAAGGCCAATGTCATGGGCCAGGATGTAAGAGACCTCCCTTCTATAAACATTGGTAGCTACACACTGGAATCCGTTCAGGACTTCACCTACTTGGGTTCCACCATCACCTGCAATTTGTCTCTTATCACGGAGATTGACAAGCGCATTGGGAAGGCGTCTACAGCGACCAAAAGAGTGTACAGATGATGTACCGTGCCTGTGTCCTTAGCACGCTCCTCTATGGGTCTGAGTCCTGGACAACATGCGCCCATCAAGGACATCGACTAAACACATTCCACCTCCGCTATCTCAGGCGCAGCCTCGGTCTCAGATGGCGAGATCGCATTCCCAACACCTCAAGTCCTGAACTTGGCCAACATTCCCAACATGTACTCTCTACTCAGCAGAGGTCGCAACCGGGTACCCGATACCCGTACCCTACCCGATACCCGGCTACCCGTACCCGGCCGGGTAGCCGTTTGCGACCCTGGTGCGGCCGGGTACGAGTACGGGTAGGCCGTGAGTCACTGGTGAGTCACCGTTTGTCACTCATTTCGGGTAGGGTACGGGTAGGGAACGGGTACCCGTACCCGGCCGGGTACGGGTACTCGTTTGCGACCCTGGTGCAGCCGGGTACGGGTAAGGAATCAAAACCCGATTTAAAGCTTTCGTGACTGCAGGGATTCATCTTCTTGGTTCTTTCGGCAAAGTCACTTAGAAGGGAAGTAATAAAATAATAAAAATAAAACATGATAAAATAATTCTCACGACGTTTCGGCCACAACACAAGCAGCCGTCCTCAGGTGGAGACCAGGTCTGTCGAGGCGACAGCGTCTGAATGAAACACCTCGACAGACCTGGTCTTCACCTGAGGACGGCTGCTTGTGTTGTGGCCGAAACGTCGTGAGAATTATTTTATCATGTTTTATTTTTATTATTTTATTACTTCCCTTCTACGTGACTTTACCGAAAGAACCAAGAAGATGAATCAAAACCCGTTTGCGACCTCTGCTACTCAGTCATAGGCGCCTGAGATGGCTTGGACACGTGCGCTGCATGCACGATGGCAGAATACTCAAGGGTGCCGTGTACGGCGAGCTGGCATCAGGCACACGGGACACTGGTCGTCCAGACCTGTGCTTCAAAGATGTCTGCAAACGGGACATGAAGAGTTCAAGTTCATTTCAAGTTCATATATTAGGTGTAGCCCTGTGAGCCATTTGGCTCTTGAATCGGGTGCAACCGCAACAAACAAAAAACAAAAACATGAACAAAAAACATCTTAAAGTGAATATGTGACTAAGTGCAAACATAAAATCCAAGAAAAGACAGCAAAATATTGCAGGAAAAAAAATCACCGTACACCAACGCTGCGTGCAAAAATCCCAGCGGGATGCAAGTCAAACAACAACAACAACACCAACCACAAGACAACTTAGATTAAGAGCTGTAACATCAACCCAGGGGACTGGGAGAAAACTGCCTGGTGACCGACTGATCTGGCAGCAGGCTGTGAAAACAGGCCTACTCAGGAGAGGCGAGGAGAAAAGACACACCGCTTAGCAAACCAAGAGAGAGACGTAACGACAAATCAACTGGTGCTGCCACCGCATTCACTTGCAATTGCTGTGGCAAGGATTGCCACTCAAGGATTGGGCTACGAAGTCATTCTCGGCGCCTGCAAAACCTACAGGTGACCTCGTGAAGTGCAAAAGAATTGTCTATTGAGACACACAGGCCGATGTGTAGTGTGGTGTGTGTTTGGTGTGGTGTATGTGTGGTGTGGTGTATGTGTAGTGTAGTGCGTGTTTGGTGTGTAGTGTGGTGTATGTGTAGTGTAGTGTGGTGTTTAGTGTCTAGTGTGGTGTATGTGTAGTGTGTGTTTGGTGTAGTGTATGTGTAGTGTAGTGTGGTGTGTAGTGTCTAGTGTGGTGTATGTGTAGTGTGGTGTGTAGTATAGTGTGGTGCGTGTTTAGTGTCTAGTGTGGTGTATGTGTATTGTGGTGTGTAGTGTGGTGTGTAGTGTGTAGTGTAGTGTGTGGTGTGTAGTGTGTGGTGTGGTGTGTAGTGTGGTGTGTAGTGTGGTGTGTAGTGTGGTGTGTAGTGTGGTGTGTAGTGTGTAGTGTGGTGTGGTGTGTAGTGTGGTGTGTAGTGTGGTGTGTGGTGTGTAGTGTGGTGTGTAGTGTGTAGTGTGGTGTGGTGTGTAGTGTAGTGCGGTATGTAGTGTGGTGTGTAGTGTGGTGTGTAGTGTAGGGTGGTGTGTAGTGTAGTGTGTAGTGTGTAGTGTGGTGTGTAGTGTGGTGTGTAGTGTGGTGTGTAGTGTAGTGTATAGTGTAGTGTATAGTGTGGTGTGTAGTGTGGTGTGTAGTGTAGTGTGGTGTGTAGTGTGGTGTGTAGTGTGGTGTGGTGTGTAGTGTGGTGTGTAGTGTGGTGTATAGTGTAGTGTATAGTGTGGTGTGTAGTGTAGTGTGGTGTGTAGTGTGGTGTGTAGTGTGGTGTGTAGTGTGTAGTGTAGTGTGTAGTGTAGTGTGGTGTGTGGTGTGTAGTGTGGTGTGTAGTGTAGTGTAGTGTGTAGTGTGGTGTGTAGTGTGGTGTGTAGTGTGGTGTGTAGTGTGTAGTGTGTAGTGTGGTGTGGTGTGTGGTGTGGTGTGGTGTGTAGTGTGTGGTGTGTAGTGTAGTGTGTAGTGTGGTGTGTAGTGTGTAGTGTGTAGTGTGGTGTGTAGTGTGGTGTGTAGT